TGCAGAGCAGGCAGTGAGGAGAGGGCAACAGAGGCGGTAGAGGCATGAGGAGGAACTGAGGCCCAGGCAGTGCCACATGGGTATGACAGCAGGCAGCAGCCACAAAGTCACACTTCTCTCGTCTATGACTTAGAAACCAAGCAATTGATAAAAAGAACAAAGGGGCTTTCTTCGCCCTGTAACAACTAAGACAGACACATCCATGAAAAAGAGAAGAAAGGACCTGGGTTCTAATTAAAGACAGAATATAAAGTTAAGAAACAGTTTACAACATAAAATTGCTGGCATACTAAGAGCTGATTCTCATACACTCAATGGTTTTGCAAATTTACTCTAAAAGTATATTAAGGTACTTCTACTGGGACAATGGGAACAAAACAATGCGAGGCCTGATCTGAGCTCGGACGGAGGAACTCCCCACAGTGTGAGAGCAGGTGGGCACGCTGCACTGCAGACAGGGGAGGGGCCTCACAGGACAGTGTGGTGAGTCAGGAAGGGCCATGATGAGCACCTGCCCAGTGGGGACACTCACTGGGCACTGACTCCGTACAAGGCACTGCAGGGTTTTACATCAGGTGTCGGCTTCAACTACCACAAGGGCCTAGTCACCTTCAGGGTGTGGAGATTTAGGATGGTAAGGGTCCTGCAAGCAGCAATGGAGCTGGTCTGAGGCCACAGCCCATGCGGTTAGCCACTGTGCAATGCTGCACAAGGGTTGGGTTTGCTGTCCCTTCACTCTGACTCTTCTGCCCTATTATGTTCTCCTCATCCAGGGTGGGAAAAAAAGGCTGGGGTGGGAGATGGCCTCTTGCTCCTTGCCACCCCTTTATCTAAGACACTCTTGCAGATCACTGGGCACACCTGGCAGCAACACAGAAAAAGTGCTATCAAAGGAAGAGTATAAAGATGAACTTCATTAAGCTTCCCACAAGAACTCGGCCACACGTCTACATCCTCTGTGTGAGTGACTGTGGTGTACACTGCCCTATTTCTGTTCCACCAGCTCCAGGCAGCCTGTGGTTCCCTATCACCCCTTCTCCACTGTGAGCCTATGACTGTACAGTACCACCAGCTGCCTTTTCTACTTAACTAGAAATTGATTATCTCTTATTGCAATAAGGAAGTTTATTTACCTCTTCATCGTCATCATCAAAAAGGGAGACTGATGTGGGGAGCTTGCTGGGCAGGAGAGATGCACTTTTGGGCTGACTCACATTTTGAGAAGAAAACAAATCCTGTTGGATCAAGATTGAACTTGC